TATATATATATATATATTTATGAAACGTCCTACTAGGCCATTCCTTTAAATGTTCAAAAAGTCCTGTCACTGGCGAAATTTTGTTTCTCTTTATGTTTCAGGTTTTTGATATCTTCTTTTTCCGGAAAAGATTTTCCCAATTTTAACATAATCCTTTATAACTTTTAACATACTAGATTTTATAATTATACCTAGTAGTTGGGTACCAGTTAATAGGTATTGGTAACAAATTAATTTTTTATTGACAAACAGAAATAATATAAATTTGCTTTATTTGTAAAAGAAAATGTTGATGTAAAATTTAAAATTATTCAAAATTGCATTGATTATGAGTATTGTTTGTCAATGATTAATAATTTTATTTTTATTAAATTTTGTCTTAATTGAATCGATGGTGCTTTGCAAAAACTGCCTATGTCAAAGTAAAGTAAAATTTTTAACTTTGGTAGTTTTTCTACCGAGCACCACCAATATGTGTAAAATGTTTTTTTTGTTGTTTAAAACAACTGTTTTTTATATGTTTAATACAATTACTTAAAACGCGAAAATTAAAATGTTTTAAACATCTTAACTTTGTAATAAGCACCAAGATAAAAAAAACCCAGAGCACAGTGGGGTCGCGGCATAGTGAGGATGTTGCATAGTTGGGTCCAGTATAGATTTAATCTGACAGTGATTAAAATCACTATCATAAGAAACGCTTCGATGCAAATCAGTAGATAGTGTTTAATTCTAAGAAATTGGTGGATAATTACAAAAGCTACATTATCTGCTAGTTTCTTATTAATACCCTGATTAAGATAAAGTATGTCGAATGAAAAAGGGATTATTAAAAAATATTATTTCTCATAAAAAAATTGTGTTGATTCGTACACTTTTCAATGAGTTATAGCATTATAAAGTTAAAAATGTAACCAACCCAACCCAACATCAACTCCTATTTCCTTAATTATATCCAGATTAGTAATTATTTTAATTATATATTATATAATTTTTATAATTAATTATTTTCAAATTATTATTGATTTTTAATATGTTAAAAGTAATCATTTTGAACCTACTTCTTTTTGTTCTTTAAAGTGAAAGTTTTAATAAAAAAAAAATGAATTTATTACCATAACTTTTAACTCAACTTGCAAGTTTGAAATAAATATTATTAAATAGAAAAAAATGAAATTGGTAGATTATTTCAAAAACAACAATAACACTTATTCCCTTAATTTTACCCCGATTTATAACTATAATATATGAATACATAATAATTACAGTAATTAAATTGAGTATGAAAGTGGTATTCAATAATATAATATTGTAATTTTTACGGAGATATTATAAAAATAAAAAGGAGTTGTATATTCATATACTTTTAATGCGTATACAAATTTAAAGGAATTTATGCAATACTTTTTAATAAAAAAATTTTGTTACTTATGAATAAATACACTAAACAAAAGGAACTTTCATCAGAAAAAAAATATACTTTTCTAAATAAACTTTTCGTGATGTTTTCAAATGTGCAATTAAACTTTTTCTATTACTTCTAAGTTTTAATATTATTACTTATTATTAAAAAATAAGTATTTACATATAAAAAAAAATAATTAAGAACAAAAAAAATTGTATTAAATTAATACTGATTTTGATTTTTAATATGTTAAAGGTAATCATTTTGAACCTATTTTTTATTGTCTTTTAAAGTGAAAGTTTTAATGAAAAATACCTTCTCAGCTTCGCATCGAAGCTAAAAAATGAATTTGTTACCATAACTTATAGTTCAACTTGCAAGTTTGAAATTGACATTATTAAATTGAAAAAAATGAAATTTTTAAGATTAATATGCAATCTGGAAATTTTATAATTACTAATTACAGTACATTTGTCAGAAAAATTCGATTTTTTTACATTTTTATCGTAATAGATAACTGAAATAGAAAGAATAGTAATCATATCCTAATAACTTTTGGTGTTTAAAAAAATTCTGCAATTGAAATTGCAAGAACTTAATTAATTTTAATAATTTACTTTAATTAAATGAACCAATCAAACCAAAGTAGTTAAAAA